TCCCTAGCACATATGTGCGTGCCAGGAAGCTGAGCTTTTGGTTTCCAATGCACACATTCACATTGTCCAGAACCGGTAGTAAAAATTTTTGAATTTCACCCCTGGGTTGACCTAGAAGACCTCCAAGGTCCTTTCCAACTCTTGTTATTCTGTGTCCTCTCTTCATCTTCTGATATTTGGTCTTCTTTGTCTCTTCCTTTTTTCGGTTTCCTTTTCCACAGCTGCTGATACCTTCAGCTGCAAGACATTTTTCTCCAAATCTGGCTTGCACACCAAATCGAGGGATCAGCTAGCAAAAGTATTTGGAGTCCTTGACCAGGATAAGAGTGGCTACATTGAGGAGGACGAACTGAGGTGAGTTCAACTTAAGAAGCATCCCTTCTTCCCTGATTAAGGTCCCAAGCAGCCATTTCCAAATGCAAACGCATAATCAATCCTTTGTACAGCCCCATCCTCTCTTAACGACCCGTCGCTGAGGGTTGGCCATTAGGATGGACACCCCAAAAGAGACTTACAATCCAGTTTTGAAGTTGTGACATTCTCCCCTGCAGTCATGGGATGATCACAAACTAGCCCACATTTATAGCTGTTTGCAGCACCCTGCAGTCACACAATTGTGGTTTATATAATTTTTTTGTATCGGACACCAGTTTTTATGTCTCTTTTCTAACAAAAATAAAAATAAAAATGCCCAGATCTAATTAATGACTCAGCTTTCCATCCTTCTGAGATCGGTAAAATGAGGACCCAGTGTTTTGACCTAGGCTGCCCAAGAGCATGAAGCAAACCCCTTTTGTTAGTTTGCTGTGAATTCTGCTCATTCACATCCAGCAAAGTCTTTCAAGGGAGGATTTACAGTCACAGACTTTATCTGGCTTGGAGAGCTGCCAGGCTGATATCTGCGGAACTTGGCAAGGAGTCTGGGAGAGTCACGAACCAATTAAGCGAACTAATTGTCTCCTGCAAACTCCACTCCCCTGTCGCTCGTCTTTCCTATGGGATGAGCCATTCATTGTCCACCTGTGGCCTTACTCCCAANAAGGGAAAGGAAGAAAGGAAGAGGAAAGAGGGAGGGAGGGCAGAAGGAAGGAAGGAACGAACGAAGGAACGAAGGAACGCAGGAACGCAGGAACGCAGGAAACGAAATACAATGCCACCCTTATTTGGGAATATGACAGAAGATGTTTATGTCCCAATTTCCATTAGAAAAAGATAGAGCAAACCCAGACAAATTCTAAATCCCTCCAGAATTCTGCAGGAAATATTGTCCACTTAACGTAATTCATTAAACTCGTCATCTGGGTTTGGAAAAATGAGGAATTTTCGATCTGAAGGAGGACATTCCAGCTGCTTGAAACTCACCTGCACCCCAAGGATTGATGCCAGAACATAGTGTAGCTGAATTTGAGTCAGAGCTGCCCACGCACCCAAGGAGGCTCCAAGAGGTTCAGGGCAGATACTAGAGATCAACTCAGCTCCTATTTACCCTGCTTTTTTTGGGTGTCTGATATTTAATCTGTCCCTAAACTTTTTTGGTCTCCAAGAGTAAAGTCAAGTAAGGTCAGTGCCTCAAATGTCTACTTCACCCCAACTGACATGATTGGGACAGCAAAAAGTGATGCTGGATTTACTCAATTTACAATCATTTGTTTTAGCGATCGCTCGGAGTTACAAGGGTACAGATTTTTGACCAGCCTTCACACCTACAAAGTCACAGGTTCAAGGTGCCTTCCAAATTTATTATTCTGTTATTCTATTATTCTGAGGCAGCCTATTTCCCAAGCCAGCGGAAGACAAGACAAGAAGCAACTAATCAAGGAGAGAACCAACCTAGAACTAAGGAGGAATTTCCTAACAGTGAAGACAATTAACCAGTGGAACAGCTGGCTTCCAGAAGCTGTCGCTGCTCCATCACTGGAGACTTTTTAAAGAAGAGACTGGATAGCCTCTTCTCCAGAATGACCTAGGATCTCCTGCTCGAGCAAGGTGGTTGAACCATGGGTGAAATCCAGCAGGTTCTGACAGGTTCTGGAGAACCGGTAGCAGAAATTTTGAGTAGTTCAGAGAACCGGTAGTGGAAATTTTGAGTAGTTCAGAGAACTGTTAGTGGAAACTTTGAGTAGTTCAGAGAACCGGTAGTGGAAATTTTGAGTAGTTCAGAGAACTGTTAGTGGAAACTTTGAGTAGTTCAGAGAACCGGTAGTGGAAATTTTGAGTAGTT